TACCTGCCTGTACAATCAGATTCAATTGCTGAATCTGATGCCTCTCCTGTAGGTCACGTCTCCGGGAGGTAATGTCGTACAGACTTTGAAAGGAACTTCTGGGGAAAAGTTCGATTTCAAGGCGCCACGAAGTGGAATGTACAAATTCTGTTTTCACAATCCCTATTCAACACCAGAGACCGTCTCTTTCCAAATACATGCTGGACATATTCCAAATGAGCATGATCTAGCCAAAGATGGTTTGTCTTATTGTTCTATTATATTTTTTCTTCAATGTGGACATCCAATTATATTATTCATTCCGCTTACTATGTGTACTTCGATAGAACCTTAAGCTTGGAAGACTTATTTGGGGTGTGTGATGCAGAGCACCTGGACCCTATAAATGTTAAAATTGCTGAGTTGAGAGAGGCACTGGAATCTGTCACATTAGAGCAGAAGTACCTGAAAGCTCGGGAGTCTCGTCATCGTCATAGTAAGATTCTTGGTTTTCCCTATTGGCATACCTCAGTGAGTGATATGAATGGATGCATATTAACTAGCGTTGACTCTACTATGATGAAATCTTGACTGAAAATTGTCGTAGCACACTCGCAGCTCAAATATATGGGTCATACATGCTGGTATGTGGGCTTGGTGATACATCCCTCACCCGCAGTTCAGTAGGATTCTTAGAATATACAAATTCCTGGTTTTAAAAAATGAAGGTTGTTTTATGTGTATTTCTTATTTGATGTAAAGGTTGAACCAAAGAGGGCATGTGCTTGCATTTTACTTCTTCCGCTGCTTGGTATTTTTGAGCTGAATATATTTGACACCTTATTTAATATATATGTGTGTGTGTGTGTGGTTGGCCAAAATCTTAACACTTTCACTATGAGCTTTTAATGCTCGAGGAGAAGTTTTTCAGAATCTGACTTGTGGTTCTGCCAATGATGTGTAATTTTTGGCTTTCTGTTTTGCCATTTTCACTATAATAAGGTTTTTGCTGCTTCATTTCCTATTTAAGTGAATGAATATGAACTCACAAATCTCCCTCTTTTAAGATAATTTTTAATGAAGAGCCAGTTTATGAATGCTAGTGTGCAACTTTTCTATACTACGACTAAACTTTGCATGGTCCGATGTTTGCTGTCAGACTTTCCAATATTTTGATCTTGCGCAAAAGCTCTTGGGTTCAATAATGTGACAAATTATTCTGCTCTGCTCTAATTATCACCATCAATCTGCTCTAGCTTTCTGCATAAAAGAACTTTGACTCGGTTTAGTGTTGTATGAGTTGATTGGTTGTTTCATTATTTGCTTCTAAATTGTTGTTTTGTTCCTCTCGGGGCACTTACTGTTGGACGGCTGGTTCTGCTGCAGCTAATGAGAGCACGAGGAAACGTGTTATATACTACACTGTTGCTGAATACCTCTTGCTGGCTTGTGTAAGCACACTTCAAGTTGTATACATCCGCCGGCTCTTCAGCAAATCAGTGGGATACAACCGAGTCTGAGTCGCCTGTAATGATCTCATTCATTTTCAAGCCACAGTCAATCATAGATGAGCTTAGGGAGATATAGTAGCAGAAAAGATGTGCCTCTTCATCTGATCCACTGCTTTTTGGCTTAAACATATAGTCCGTGAGTTAGACAATGACTTCTGGTAATCTTTGGTTTCTAACTTCATTATGAATTGTGAATGCGGGCGACAAAGCCCTTGCGAACAGATGGTGTCCCTATCTTTTGCTTTTTAATTCGATGGCAAAGACTGGAAACAAGGGATGGATTGTTCCAATGAAAGCTGCTCTCTGATCAGAAATGTTTCCATTGGAGGAACTTTTCCTGGAAAACAAGATCAATTCAGTGTACAGCATGCGTGCCAGAAGATCTTTCCTTAACAAGGTCTGAAAATGATGGTTGACTTGGTGGTGGTGATGGTGACGGCGAAGTGGTCGGCTCTAATGGGTGGTGATGGCCATAAGGGGAGTGGTGTTGCTCGTCGAAGCCCAAACTGCTCGGTCAGTTTCTACTTCGAAACTCGACCAAGCGGATTCATCGTTGAATCGGCTCAATAGGAGTGGGTTCAATGTCTCAACCAAGAGTACTTTCGATTCAAACAATTTTCTTGAAAGTTCTTAACAAACAAAACGAGATGGTTAAAGATTAAACAGGCAGAGAGATGAGCTAAGTTGACGTTTTGTTACTTCTTTGTACCGTGCTTTGGCATCTTCTCGTTGCAGTAGAGCCCATTTGAGCCTTTCAAAGGCCTGCTCAGATCTAAATTGAATCCATATTATGTGGACTAAACATACACAACACTAGTGTAGAGAGGAAAAATGTACAAGTCTGTATAATGATGAGTTTTTCCTATCCTGTCTTCCTACCTTTCTACTTTTGTTTGTCGTCAGCCATTATCCTCGACGGTTACTTCTTTGTCCTGTGCTTTTCTTGCTTCGAAACGTTATCACCTTTTGATAACTGCCCATCGATCTCAACCATGCACCCGCCAATCACTCGATCTCGATGATGCCCCTTTGATACCGGCTTCATTTCTTCATTTTGAAGTTTAGGGCGCGAATGATAACCATTCTATTTCTCTTCATAACTAGTTTTCTGTTCCCAGAAACAAGTTTGGAATAGAAACCTGTTTAGTAACGCAATTCTATTTTTTTATTTCTGAAATAACTTTTTGTTCCAGAATTGATTTTGGACCAAAAATTAGAACAAAAAAAAAGTAGGTTTTCTGTTTCTGGATGAGAAATGAAAATTATTTCTAAAAGAATATGTTTTCTCTCTTCAAAACACATCTCTTCTTAAATTTGGCCTCGGTCTGACCTAGTCAGATCGTTTTGAACCGGTTCGGTCCGGTTCATTCCCGATGGGAAAATAAAAAAAATTCTAAAAAAATTAGAAAAATCAGAAAAAAAATCAGGAAATTCATAAAAAATTTAGAAAATCTGGAAAATTTCTAATAATCTCAAAAAAAAAATTCAGAAAATCCATAAAAATTGAAAAATTATAGAAAAATTCATAAAAATTTCCAGAAAATAAAAAAAAGTCAGATTTCGGGAAAATAGGAAATTTGGTGAATTTTTTCAAAAAAAAATTTAAAATTTTCAAAACTTCACAGGATGGCTTAGAATACCTGTGGCCACCCATTTTGAGTGAAATTTAAATATTTTGAGCTGCCCAAATGGTATTTTTGAAGACTCGTTAGTTTAGGGATTTAAAATGGGTTTTAATCCTTAAAAAACCCTAAAAGGGGTTTAACCCCCAAAAGGGGTTCTAAAAAAATGGATTTCTATTCCAGGAAATAGAAATTTGTGTTGTTATCAAACGGGTTTCTGTTCTAGGAAATAGAAATTTTATACTGTTATCAAACGGGTTTATGTTCCAAAAATAGAAATTTTTGGTTGTTATCAAACGGGTTTCTTTTCTCAGAAACTCGTTCTGGGAACAGGAATAGAAAAATCTATTTCTGTTTCAGGAATTGTTTCTAGAATAGAATGGTTGTCATTTGCACCCTTAGCTTCCCTCAACATAAATGGTGTATTTAGTTGAAATAGCTTCTCGGCCTTGTAAGCTCATCTGACCCAATTCTCTTTTGGGCCCTTTACAAAAACTATCTCATTCCAATTCCTACCAAATGCGGTAATGAAAAAACACTCGCTCATTGGTTTTGTTCACATTTCTTTTGTGTGGAGGGAACTTACACTTTTTGAGGAAAGAAACTAACTATTTAACATTATTTTCTGTTTTTACAACTACACGGATTCTCATCTAGAGGTAATATTAAAAATTTAGAAATAATAATGGAAAAAGAAAAAGAAAAGCAGAAAAAAAAAGACGAGGGAAGAGAGAGTAAGCAGTTTATATACGGTGGTGTCAAAGGTTGCAACCGCTATTGCGCTGGTGAAGCCACAACAGCCGAAGGCATTCTCATGGAAGGGGAGAGAGATTAATCCAAGTTTGGGCTTACCCCTCTCCTCATCTTTCACTCAGATTCTGTTTGTTTTGCAAATAATGAATAATTTAAAAAATATATTTTAAAAACCGATCACTTGTATTGCTTATCAAAATAAATGGACAAAAAATATTTTCTTCATCCATCAAAATGTTTAGATATAAATTATTGTTGATAATAAAAACATTTTCATCGACTAACTATTTCAAGCAATTATTTTTAGAAAAATATTTTTCAAATAATTTATTTTCCGTGAAACAAGCAGAGTCTCAAATTTGAGAGCACTTCCCAGTCGAAATACTTGAAAAGGATTGTCATTATAGCTAGCCTATGCATAATTTTTTTTTTTCGTTTATTAGACGAATTCGACCTTCAAATCTAGATCAAATTATTTGCGACAAGCACATGACCAGAGCCAAAGGTTCGACAGAAAATTGTGAAAATGACATAAACAGTCCATGAACTTTGGCCCAATGTGCAATGTGGTCCATGAACTTTTAATTTATTAAATGTGATTCTGAAATTTAACCCAATGTGCAATGAGTCCCTGAACTTTTAATTTGTTTAATGTTGTCTTCGAATTTTTAGTACATATTCATTTTAGTCTCTGAATTATATGAAAATATTAGCTGTAGTTCTTCCATTAATTTAAGTTTAGGGACTACATCAAATATTTTCATATAGTTCAGGGACTACATTGAACATGTACCAAAAGTCTAGGAACCGCATTGAACAAATTAAAAGTCCAAGAATCACGTTAAACATTACGCTAAAATTTAGGAACTGTATCAAATAAATTAAAAGTTCAGAGACCACATCACATATTGGGTCAAAATTCAGAGATTATTTGTGTCATTATCCCACAGAAAATTAGTCGGAGTCGATGCTCGGGGGAAGATTATAGCAAATTTGGAGAGATTATGGAGAATATTGCAATTATTAAAATCTCAATGGGCAAGTCGCATCAGTGTCGAAATCTCGAGGGGCCAAAGTGTAAATTTGCCCCTCCATTTCTTTCCTTCCTCGGAACTCTCAGTCGCATCGCTCTGGTCTCGTTTTTGACCAACTTCGTTCGATCGGTCCCGCGACGAAGATCGCCGCATTCCCTTCGTTCGAAGTCCCACCGAAGCTCGACGATGAAATGGAGAGTGACCTGGGTTTTCTGGGCGGTGATGGCGCTCCACGTCGCCGCCGTTCTCATATTCACTCGCGGGTTCCTCCTCACCCGCACCGAGCTCCCCTTCCACAGCGGTTGCTCCGATATCTCCGGCTCTCCTTGCTCCCCCCCTCGCTCCGGAGCGGCGGGCTCGAACGGGACGGGCGGTGGCGGTCCGGAGCGTTGCTGGACGAAGCCCGCGGTCGATAGGGTCGTCATCATTGTCCTCGATGCCATCAGGTTATCGCGCGCGCCACCTGTTTGACAAAAAAAACGCATCTGGGTTCGTGATTTGACTCTTCGTTGTTGTTGGGTCTTGCAGGTTCGATTTTGTGGCGCCCAGTGCGTTTTTTAAAGGTTAGTGTCTGGATGTTTTTGCTCTTCAATCGCAAATTTTCTGCGGTTGTTCTGTCTTACTTTGGTAAATGAATAAATGAGCAACATATGTTCCTTTTTTTCATTTTTGGATGATGGGGAATGGTAAGGTTTCTAATTTTACCCGTCTACAGGAGAATAGGATATCGTGCTTTTTTAGTCTATGACGCCTAAAAGCAGTTGATTGAGCTAATTGTCTAGTATGCGATCTGGTGACAAAATGAGCCATTGGGCTCTTATTTGTTTACAGTTACTTTTCTCTGCGATGCAGGCATTGTGATACCAACTTTTACTTTTTTTTCCTTATAGAAACAAAACCATGGATGGATAGATTACCAGTACTGCAAAAGCTGGCATTTAAAGAAGGATCATCTGCTAAGATTTTTAAAGCAATTGCTGATCCACCTACTACGAGTTTGCAGCGTTTGAAGGTGATAGCATCCACTTCTGATTATATTTCAAAATGCCATCCAGGATTCTTCAGGTTCTCGCGCAAGTTTGAACCAGCTTGGTGTTTTCAGTGTCCATTATGATATTTTTTTGTTGCTCAAAATTCTGTTTGTTGAATATAGTTTGTCTCTGTCAGTGGTAGAAGTGCAATTGTTATTTTCCATCGGGGCTCCGTTTAATTCCATCGAGTACTCAATGAGTTTCTTGTGTATTAGTTCTTTAATCTGTTGTTTGTTGGTCATGACAAAAAAAAGAAAAAAAAAGAGAGCTGATAGTTATTTACATGGAGACCTTATAATAGCGTTATGCTTATATGACAACTATTTATTAATGGAAAGGCTTTACACCTTGTGAAGTCATTTAATGAGAGAAGTTTAGCGAGACAAATATTGCAGTTGTACTTGTTAAGTGATTTGATGAGACCCTGTGAAGTCATTTGATTAGAGAAAAATGCTGACACAGTGGTCATACTTGTTAACTTCGTTAAAGCACGAGCTGTAGCACATAAAGCATAATGTGGGATATGTGATGGCAATTGGTTACTCTTTTAATATTCCCAGGGCTTGACAACAGGTGGGTTGCCAACCTTTGTCGACGTAGGCAATAGCTTTGGTGCGCCTGCAATCACTGAAGATAACTTGATGAATCAGGTTTGGTCATTCGCCTAAACCTTAATAAGCCATATTAAGTTTGTTAATCATTATTCATGAACAATCTCATTTGCCACACATGCTCAACCTGCTCCAGCTAGTCCGAAATGGGAAGAGAGTATTGATGATGGGGGATGATACATGGGTGCAGCTGTTTCCTCATCATTTCAATAGATCTTATCCTTTCCCTTCTTTTAATGTAAAAGATCTTCATACGGTGAGTGCTTACTTTCTTTTGCATGCAAATCCTGAATAGTTTCTCCTCAATGGTTTAAGCACCATGTATAAGCTTCTGAATTGGGTAAGTTGGCCTTCATTTTCTAGGTGGATAACGGATGCATTGACAACTTGCTTCCATCATTGTACCAAGAAGATTGGGATGTTCTAATTGCACATTTTCTTGGAGTGGTGGGTTTATCTCCGCAACTTATGTTGTAATGCATCATGTTCAAGCTGATAAAAACTTTATGGATAATTTGAGGCATATATGTTGTCCAGTCGGCAGATAAATTCTCATAAAAGGGGTGTTGTTATCTCCTGACAGGTTGACAGATTGATGCTATATAAATAATGAGTAGAGACATCAGCCAATTCTGCTGAACGATCATTTGCTAGTCCAATGCATCTTGTTAAATTCTAAGAGCCACATGTTGTGAAAAATCTGAGAAATGGAACTGCAAACAATTGATTTGATCAATAGAGCTGTCCAGTTTCAGAGAATCAGATCAAAGCTCACAAGCGCTTATACCCTGAAAAATGGTACAACTATGATGTTTTCAAATAAGTGTCCAGTTTGAAAGAATTAGTGGCTTGTCTCACGCTGATGCTCTTTGTGGTGAAGGCTGCTAGTAATTGGTCTTCATGCTATGGAAATTTTGTTCATCAGATTGTTTGAAATGCATCTGTGTCCATTTGGCCTTACGAATTCCTCTCTCTGTCTCTGTCTCTGTCTCTGTCTCTCTCTCTCTCTCTGTGGTGCACGCACGTTGTGTCCATATGGACCGTTTAATTTCATTTCTCTATGAAGTAGTCCGCGATCCTACAATTTGCTAACGCTATTGCACTAATAGTAGATGGCATCTGATATATCGTCTTTACTTGGTTTAGGATCATGCAGGGCACATATTTGGGGTCGATTCCCTTCCCATGATAGAGAAGTTGGAACAGTATAACACTGTTCTTGAGGTACTTTCCTTGATAGATGGATGAATTTGCATTTTGTGTTTGTTATTGATTGTGGCTTTCCTGTTAGATAACTAATCCTCACTTCATATTCTAAGCAATTTGAAATTTATTGATGCTCGCATTAGGTGTTTTAAGTGAAGTGTCGTTGTTTGTCTGTTCTGTATTTTATGATGCTTGAAAATGTGAGAGTAGAGCTAAGTTGGTTTCTCTGAATTAGAGATCTGCTGCTGCTTTTTCAGAGATCGTTTGGCTGTTTCGATGTGGTTCTACTGCAGTATCCCATGCTGTGTTGTGAACCTCTTTTTCTTGTTGTGTTTTCTCATAAAGTCAACTAACATAGTAAAATTTGTCAGAACGTGATTAGTGTGCTGGAAAGCCAATCAGGACCTGGTGGTTTGCACGAAAATACATTTCTCCTTGTGCTGGGTGACCATGGGCAAACCTTAAATGGTGATCATGGGGGAGGGAGTGCTGAAGAGGTATGTCACTGCTATCATTAATGAACTTTATTTGGTCTTTGATTCCATTGTTATTTCTAATATGGATCTTTTGTGCAGGTCGAAACTTCAATTTTTGCAATGAGTTTTAAGAAGCCTCTATCTGCCATACCATCTGAACTGGACATATCTTGCGAATACACCTCGGTACTTCATCTCTTTGAGCTTTCTTCGTTCTTTTCTTCTAGGAAATTTTGTGTGATTAGGTTAAGCATTCCATGTCTTCCTGTAAGGATTTTCTTCCTCAGTGATGTTCTTAAGACGCATGCACTTAATCGTAAGGTAAAAAATAAGATTTCATAGGCAGAATAATACGGGCATGGGGAGTGAAATTAAATTCATAATTACGAAGAAAGTACATTGAAAGCGCAGATTCAAAACTGGTAATTTAGCTGAGGATTAGTTTGCAGGAATGTGCTACTTTTATTATTTGTATCTAGCTTGTAATTGGTTTTATTTTTCCCGATAGTTAAACTCTGATGAGTAGTTCCACTTGACATTTCCCGAATAACTCTGACATATATTCTACTATTTTAATCTCTTATTTTCGAAATTTTCAGGATGAAAGATTTTGCATCAGCTCCATCCAACAGGTTACTAACTTATTTGCCCAACTAATTTAGAAGTTTTAATTTCAAGTGACTCAGAATTAGATTTTTCCTTTCATCACGTGTACTTAAATGCATTTTTTTCTGCAGCTTGACTTTGCAGTCACGGTTTCAGCACTGCTGGGCATTCCTTTCCCTTTTGGAAGGTGCAGTGTAAGCTCTCTGGTGCTGCTAACCCTTTGATCATCTTTGTATCAGAGTTCTTTTACTATAAAACGTTAGTAGACAGGTCAGAGGTTGTTTCGCTGTTTCTATTACGAAGGAAGTAATTTCTGGGAGAAAGCACTATAGTGATATATAGCAATTTAGGACAAGTTTGTCTAATTTTAGTTGGTGTTATAATTTATGTAGGTTGCACATGTCTCCATTGTGATTTGTGTTCGAGCTTCTATTGGTAAATTTCATGCAGATTTGGTGTGAGATGTGTAATGTATAATTGGAACAATTCTTGGGTTTTAAACTCCTGGGATATTTTCTATTGATATGAATTATCCATTAATAGCTATTCATATTGGATATCTATTCATAAATTGAATGAAAAGTAGAATTTCAACTGAATATTGAATTGTGAAGATAACAATTAATATAGTGATATAGAATTTGATCTATTTATCAATTTATATGTTTATCAATACTTAGTACCTAATATTAATATATTAAGTTGTTTCATGTTATGGTTCTAATTTAGTCATACTCTCGAGAATCTCAAGGTCTTCTGCCATGAAGAGTAAAAGATGTTGGTCCATTGAAATATTTGTATCCGTTTGCTACATCTGCTTTCAGTTATTTTTCGTTGGTGCTCTGGTCTGTAAATCTTTCTATCCTCTTGTTTCTGACAAATGAACATCATTCGGTTTCAGTTATCTCAAAAGAAGATGAGAGTTTTCCGTGAATATATTCGATTGAACTCACGAGATCGACTTTTTTCAGCATTGGGCGGGTTAATCCTGAACTCTATGCTTTAGCTGGTGGGACATGGAATATGGAGGAACTCAAGGTGGATCCAGAATATGATTTGAAGTCTGCAGAATGGTTGCAAAACTATGTCAATGTATTGTGCATCAACGCTTGGCAGGTAATTAACTTTCTGTAAGCGTATTGTTGAGCCGCATCATATAGTTCAATCTGCTTAGTGCTGGTGCTCTATCATAGAACTCAGAGTAATGAGCGTGGAGTTTAAAATTAACTTGAGAGTTATGGTTCTTTTTTCTTTGACTGGAGAAAAATATCGGGTCTCTGTCATCTGCAGTACTTTGTCATGACGAGACAAGATGCTAATCAAGTTATTAATTTGAATAATTGTTTTCTTAAAAGAATAGCAATCACATCATCCTTCCCAGCTTACCTGTTTTTCTTGTATGTGTGGATATTTCGTAGGTAAAGAGGTACATAGATATCTATTCAGCTTCATCGTTGATTGGGTTTTCCTCGGATGACATGTTACATGTAGCAAACTTGTATGCTGAAGCAGAAGCTACTTTTGCTCGAAAGATGGATGCCCTCTCATACGATAGCAAACATATAAAGTTATCAACCCTGAAGAGCCAAATTGATGCCTACTTCAAATTTTTAGCGAGTGTTGCTGAACTAGCTCGATCAAAATGGACCGAGTTTAATTTAACTTTTATGGTTATTGGTTTGGGGATGATGCTGGTATCGCTTCTCACCCATGTTCTTGCTATCAAAATGGTGAAGGAGCTGCACAACGGTTCTTTTGATCCATCAGGAAATTCTGGAATTTCCTTTGGATTAGTATTTGCCTTTTTTATTGTGGCGATTCGTGCATGCAGTTTACTATCGAATAGCTACATTTGTAAGTTTCATATCCCTAAATACTTGTACTTCATGTTAGCACATCAACTCCTGTTACTGACACTGCCAATGTTCTTTTGCTCTCTGCTCAAACCTTTTTGTCAGTGGAAGAAGGGAAAGTGGCAAATTTTCTTTTGGCAACGGCTGGAGTTGCTAAGTTCAGATATTCGATCATGAAAAGAAATATGATTTTCAAAGTAGGTACTTTGTTCCTCTTTGAGGCTTTTAGTAAATCTTTGATTATATAGGGATCATACAACTAAAAATCTGTGACTTCTGCTTCTGACTTTTGTGTTTCTGTATCTAGGCGGGTCTCTTTCTCATCCTTATTTGCCTTCTGAGATTCGCCATTGAAATTGGGCTATCCAAGCAGGCTGCCACTTCAGCTTTTCTGCATTCTAGTACCTCATGGATAATTGGGATTGACTTGAATCATCCTGTTTTGGTTTACATTCTTCAACTTTTGCCAATGCTTACTCTAATTGGATTGGCCCATCTTTTGTACAAGTCTACTGCTCATGGCTCTTCTCAAAGGATTTGCCGGATTGTTGTTGCTGGAACTATTGCCAGTTATGTTCTTATAGTTGTACACTGGGCCTCTGAAAGTAACATGTTAGGCCTTGCTCAAATCAGCAAAGGAAGGAATTTTATTCCCAGGATAATATATGCCATTGGAATTGGACAGCTGTTACTACTAGCATTTAGCCAGCTGTTTAACAGAAGCAAAGTTGTTGATCACAGAAGCTTATTTAGTAAAACAGTGAGCATGTTATCTGCATGGAGTCCATCTGTAATTATCCTGTCGGGAAAGCAGGGGCCTCTGATCGCTTTAGCATCCATAGTTGGAGGTGCTTTTTTCTTTTCATGGATTCCTTGGCACTTTAGATATACTCCTTTAAGTTTTGACGTTCCATATTAGACAATTCAGGATAATGAAAATATGGTTTTACAGGCTACTGCATAGTGATGTTGCAAAATATAGAAGAAGATAGCAATGGAACTGCCAAACCTTCAGTTGTCAATCCTCTTTCTGTAACAGAATGGAGCCTTTTAGCTCTCTCTATGTTCTTCTGTACTGGTCATTGGTAAGATTGTTTTTTGTGCTCTAGGTATAAAATTTTTGCCAAGTGATGCATTGTTTAGCTGGTCTAAAACACAGTCCAGTGGCACAGTGGAGTTTATTTAGCATTTACACTTACTGGAATAAGGCTAGGTGCTGGTGATGGTGGTTGTTTTTCTTATGTTGTACTTTGCTTTAATGTGTGCTCACAATTTGGTTGACTTAGAACCTCTCTCTGTCACACATTCTGTTAGCATTGGTGTCATGGTGTGAACCTCTATGTGGTATTATCATTTCTTATTTCTAATGTCCCATGATGTTTTCATCAGGTGTGCTTTTGATGGCCTCCGCTATGGTGCTGCATTTGTTGGGTGAGTCATGGTTACATGGATTTTCTTGGAGATTCAATGTTCTGATGCATTGTTTTTGACAACCCAGTCATGAATTGCTGCTGTTTACTTCCATAAGCATGAAGTTTTGTTTATTGGCGATCCACAATCATTTGTTTTTGTATTTTATAATTTTGCTGTTGGGATCATTCTGTGAGGTCCATTTTGTGATTTGATTTCTCCTTGTTTTCTACCAGGTTTGATGAGTTTGTCCTCATACGCCAAGCAATTCTTCTTACCATTGAGACATTTGGGTTTTCACATATTATTCCCATTTTCGGACTTCCATTCCTTGTCTTACATCGCAAGTTGTTTGCTCAGAAAGACCTCTTTGTCCAATTGTCTCTAGTAAGTGAACAATTGAATGAGCCATACACGTTTTGTATATCTTTTTGTGTTTCGTGGAGTGTCTTAAACAGCTTAGCTTGTCTAAACATCTAAGGTCTCTCTCTTCTCAGGCTTATATGATGTTTGGGCTCGTTATGGCTGCTACAGTGACGGTAACCATATTCTGTGTTATGATACAAAGGAGACATTTGATGGTAACAATCACGCCACAATTCAATGCAATGTTTCATCTCAATTACTATACTTGTGTTTATAGCTTGTGCATTGGCTGCTTTGGTTTCAGGTATGGGGATTATTTGCACCGAAGTTTGTATTTGATGTGGCGGGTCTCATTCTTACTGATGTACTGATTTGTTTGGCATCACTTTACTACTTTTGTCAGCCAGAAGATCATATAGTGGAAACTAACACCAGTGGAAGATGAAAGTTCTCGAAACCGCAATCGATGTTGATTCTTTGGAGAGTTGATTCTGTGAGAGATGCGTGTTCAAAAGTACAGATTGTGCTAATTTGTTAGCATTTTGAGGATTCACTAACTCATTTTTTGGAGTTCCTCTGTACGGAAGATGGAGAAATTGACATTGATAATGCCTTTTTGATAGAGATTACTTTGAACAGGTTTCACTCAGATTGTGTTTATTTTCCATTTTTGGAGTTCTTATAGTTTGTTATTAGGCGATAAATTTGGGAGTTCACCATCTTAGTGCTAGTAGTTGCTAATCCATCATCCTTGTGTTGCTCATCCGCAACGAATTTGGAGATTGGGTTGGAATCACACGCAGGATTCACAAAATTGAGGGTTGTGATAAATTCGGCCCAATAGATGCGGGTCAATACCAGAATTTTCACTGTGTCATGGCTAATTGAGGTGTGATTTGTTCAAGCAGTCAATTTATTTGCTTCTTGCTCGAGTCAAATGATGAAATATTACCGACAGCCACCGACAAACTATTGCGATTGTTTGGAGCACGTTTCTAGTAGGTACGGCTAGCCAAGAGCTCCACTCTTGGAAGCACGGAAAATCAAAAAAAATTTCACACCCGAACCTGCTACCATTCTATTACCACCAACTTGGAGAAATACGACCTCTTTGAAATAATACGGTTTATGCTGAATTTGGCTCTTAGATCTTTCCGTCAATTTCTACTTTCTTTTTATCTCTGAAAATATCTCCGAAATTTGGTCCACTGGTTACATATATTGGTTAATCAATCACATTGACAGGGACACTGCAACTCCGATTTTGCATTTCTAATCAGTTAGCGTCAATATAAAAAAAGCAAATGGGTCAGCACTCCATTATCGTTAGGTAAATAAGTTCAAGATGCCAACTCAAGTCTTGTCCGACTTATTCTTTCTAATGGTCCATCAGAATCATCTTATAACCAAAACAAGGGAAACAGAAAAGATGTCAGTCACAGTCACAGTCAACAGTCACGGTCTATGTCCACTGCCTCTTCATGTACAATCCATCTCCGTTGGAGAAGAAGAAGCAAGAAGTGAAAAAGAGAAAATGGAGGAGAAGCAGCGAATTCAGATTCCCAGAGTGAAGTTGGGCAGTCAGGGATTGGAGGTAAAGATCTTGCTTCCTTAGTTTTCGTTTCGAACTTCAGAGATTATACCTGATTTTTGTGACAGTTTCCACTCAGAGACTGTTTAGAAACTTTAGAGGGCACCATAGTGCTCATAGTCCTTGGTTCCTGCATTACTCGATAAGTGTGATCTGTGGTTTTGATTAAGGGTGTGATCAAAGTCCAGTCTATCTCAATTTACTACTCGAGCTCGACCGAGCTTGATCTTAGCTCAAGCTCGCCTCGATTAAGTGTACAGTAATAAGCTTGAGCTTGAATCCGACTATCCAAAAGTAAAGCTAAGCTGGAAGTTGAGCTAAGTGAGTTATGTTAGTATAATGTAATTGGAAAACAATGTAACAAGTGTTTCTTATGTATTTAGATGTATTACTCTACTTAGGATATCGTAATTCAGTTATTTGAGTCTAAGAATGCTTAATCACATTCTCGATTCCATTCAGTACTCGAATGCCCCGAGCTTGAAAGTATTAAGTCGAGTTTGAGTCAGGCTCGTAGCAAGCTCAAGATGAGCTTGGCTTATGTGCGCTCTTGATTCCGGTAAGGGCAAGCAAGGATGGACACAAAACACGGTCAAGTCATTTCAAAGGAGAAGTAGAGGAACATTTTGTTCAGTACCCTCGTTCTTAGAATAGTGTAGAAATTTTTTTTCATCTCCAGATTTGAGATAAGACATTCAAATAACATGAAGAGAAGAATGCTGAATTCATGCCATCCTCCCATCTTGTGCAGGTCTCTAGACTAGGCTTTGGATGCGGGGGACTCTCTGGTATCTGGAATGCTCCTGTTTCCCATGAAGCTGGATGTTTACTCATAAAGAGAGTATTCGAGAAGGGCATCACTTTCTTCGATACAGCGGATGTCTATGGTCATGATCATGACAATGAGATCATGATTGGAAAGGTGATTCCTGTTTTAATTAGCTTCAATGCATTGAGATTTTAATCTCTCTGTGATAATTTTTAACCTTGAACAGTGTTATGAGATGGACATCTTGAGACTCAGACGATACCTCTTATTGGTGTATTTTGTTGTTGCCTAGTTTTTTTTGCTGGTTGTCCTATAACTGAGACCTAATTGATCACTTGCTCAGGCTCTGAAGGAGCTTCCCCGAGAGCAGATTCAGTTAGCGATGAAATTCGGCGTTGGAATGGTGGAGGAGGGTCAAGTTGCCATCAGAGGTACTCCTGAGTATGTAAGAGAATGCTGCGAAGGTAGTCTTAAGAGACTAGGTGTTGATTACATAGACTTGTACTATCAGCACAGGGTGGATACCACAGTGGCGATAGAGGATACTGTAAACATTGTCGAATAATGGTGTTTCTTCACATTGCTTTCTAGCAGATGATCATATTTCTCCAATAATTGCAATCTAAACAATTGATTTAATTAAATCAATCCCAATTGGTAATATAGGTGGGAGAACTCAAGAAGCTGGTGGAGGAAGGGAAGATAAAATACATTGGTTTGTCAGAAGCTAGCATCGATACGATAAAGAGAGCTCATGCCATTCATCCAATCACAGCTGTGCAAATGGAGTATTCTCTGTGGACTCGCGAAATTAAGGATGAATTAATTCCACTTTGCAGGTCTACTCCTATTATCCTCAAGATGTTTGTTTTTGTCCCCCCAATATATCAAGGAAATGACGCAGTTTTTACGTGTCTTTTCAATTTCAGAGAACTTGGCATCGGGATAGTTGTATATAGCCCTCTAGGTCATGGGTTCTTTGGTGGAAAGGCAGTCATTGAGAGCTTGCCCGCCGAGAGCCTGTTGGTATGTTTTTTGCTATTTATTTTGACGATTTCGATCATTAGTCTATTGGAAAGAGAATCCGGATTATGTGACCATCCAAACTTAAGTTGTTGGCACAAACAACAGCTAGCAGGGTGAGCAATCCTGCTACAAGCTCAACAAACAGCAACTAAGAGACCCAAACTAGAAGTCCCCAGTTACAGCACAACATCATATCTAAGGACACGTTTCTCTTCACATTCAAACAACTACTGAGTTTTTCTCTAATCAACCTATTTGCAAGAGGATTAAATCGAGCTAACAGAGAGAGTGGGGATATGCAGGCGAAGTTTACTGCCTCAGAAACAAAATTTTTGGGTTTCTTGGTGATATATCAGCGGTAGATGTGTTTCTATGCTCATGTATATTGTTATGTGATAGGCTATTCACCGGGGAGAACTTAGAGAAGAAAAAAGTTATATATCAAAAAGTTGTTGACCTCGCCGCAAAGCATGGTTGCACTTCTCCTCAACTCGCCCTGGCGTGGCTTCTTCATCAGGGGGATGACGTTATCCCAATACCAGGTAACAATTTCTGGTAAACATTGGGTCACATAGTACTATGGCATTAGCTGTTGATTTTTGCAAAACTAGGAGAGGTATGTCAAATCAGGCAGTCGTTGTTTTTCCCATGTTTATCACAAACTTTGAACTTACAGTTACGATGATATATAGGGACCAGAAAAGTTGAGAACCTTGAAGACAATATTGGATCAGTGGCAATTAAGCTTAGCGAAGACGAGATGAAAGAAATTCGTGATGTCGTGACCATGAATGAAGTAAGTGGGGAAAGAGAGTTCGAATTACTCGCCAAGTATTCATGGAGATATGCAAATACCCCAGCAAGATAATGCGCGACATGGATAAAAGATTGACCATGGATTTGCTCGATGGAGGCATTTCTCCCTTGTTATCTCCGCTATTTGTTGCGAGGAAAATGTCGTAGTGAAAGTGTGAGATGGGAGGTCGTGATATCCGTGTTTCAGTCTTATCCTAAGGAGCCTTAAAGATCATGAGAATAAGTGATGTAGTCTTCGAGCTTCTTGTGATAGAAACTGTAGTGTATGCCTGAATGTTGAATTCAACAAGCAGAGGTGTTCTGTTTTAAGGTGGAGAAGCTTGGCCGTTGTTTTTTCCCGACCTAATATTTCATCGGTTGTCCAACAATGGGGTTCAGCTAATCAAGCACAATACAGTAGGGACCATAACTTGTTGGTCCGAACAACTTCTCATGCATAGAAGGATAATATTCGTCGCACGGAGAATATTGCTAGGAGACGCCCGTTAATCTTTCCGTGGATGTTGATCAGCGTTTGCTACACTCGAATCGATCAATCTTATGGAGAGCAACGAATAAAGATCGAGAAAATGTTCGTCTAGCTGAAAATGTTTCTTCAAGTGCTTTGGCGAGTAGTCCCGAGCCGTTTGTTCGAACAACTCAATTTGATCATTCTAATGATGAGCATGTTCGATACCAAACGAGCAGGTCAGGAAAAGTACCTGATATGTTATCAATTGTGTGAGTATTTTCCCCTGGTTTGGAGGCAAGTTCGTTGCTGTAGCATGCTCCTGCATTGCTTACAAAGATGCTATAAACAAAATTCTCCAATGAAATATTGATAATTAGTTTTGATACGTGTAGTTAAGGGACCCAGCAAGAAACTAAGGTGCTTCACGGCATATCCTTGATGATGCGCAAGACGTCATTTTTCATGGGGACGCGCAATAGAAGTCTCATGCCTTCATAGCCGAAGGCCACTACGAGCGGATTGTCGTGTAATTCCTGCATTCAAATCCATTTCTCGATCGATCTTTGCTTGGTTGCTTATTATTGTGCCTTTCAAAGCAGTTGTGTTTCCGAGTGATCCGGTCGGTCTCGGTCGTATTCGTTTCTCCGAGCCGAACTGGATACGAGCGACCCATTTTCATCCTTGCACTTCGATTTGATCTGTTCGATTTAGTTCGACAGCGTCCTTGGTTTCGCTTGCCTGCATACTCACATGGGTTCAACTTGAAAATCATTGCCTAGTGAGGTCCTCAACTTCTTGTTTCCGTCACTGCAAACTCATGTTGGTCTGCAAGTGCAATGAAGAATGCTCCCCTCAAGCTGTCTTTGAGTTGATGCTCATTTTTCTTTTGGCTAGTGATGGGGTCAAGTTCACCGAATTGTAAGCAGGGAAACAGATTTAGATGTTTTTGCTGTCGTGTCTGTTCGACTTATGTAGAATTTGTACTTATAATTATCTAAGCGTTAAGCGTAGAAGCCTGTATCTCTCAACTTCAATATTTCAAGGCAGGATTTTAAAAAAATGTGCTTGTTTCCGTAATTTAATCCTATTTACGGTTATTGAGCGATCGAATGGGGGAGCGATTCTCATTGCTTGTTTGTGACTTTCTTCAATCTATTCTTTGATTCGCTACGCCCGAGCTAATCCGAGCGTGTTTATTTGATTCTTGTGGTTTGTTCGTTTCACTCGAATGGAAAATGGAGGTTGACAGTGAAGGTGTGGAAGGAGGGCACATTTACAAGTTCTTGCGATCGGTATGGTATTTCTCGATATGCCCACGCCTTGTTGACAAGTTGCTTCAACTGTAATCGCCTTCTCTTGGACGAAGGAAAGAGCACTTGCACTAATTTAGGAAGTTGATCTCGATCGAAACGGAGGAAATTAGAGGATTTGGGAAATTTAGGGTTTCAATCAGAGCTCCAGTTTGGGAAACTAACGTCGGTCGGATCATGGAGCCAAGAACGGCAGACACGATCAAAACGAGAAGTTACATCCAGCAATATTAGGAGGAAAACTGCCCTCAGAAGAACAGTCAAACAACCCTAGCTTCAATTTGGAGCTTCTTCAAATTAGGTCAAAGTACAAGATTTCGAACAAAATTACCCCTAGTCAAGTTGAATATTATCAGACTCAAGTGAAATCCGAGTCTGAAATGATCTAAGTGATATGATGATGTTCATTTAGACCAGAGTTTGAACATTAACATATATGCGATGTAACTTACTAATGTGCAATAATCAACAAGAGTTTAGAGATAGAGGAAATTGCACACAAAATTTATAGTGGTTGACTTATAGCAAATCCATATATTTACTCTACTATGCTGACAGTCTACTGGCTGGATTTCATTAGATAATCTATGAGAGATTACGGTTAAGTTGTGTCACTTGTATTGAAGCGCTTCTACCCAAAGCTGGTGCAGTTTATACCCAAGACGATAAGATTCCACTATTTCACACCTAAGCACACACATATGACATTGTTTACACCTCTCAAATGATTACAATTTTAAGCTCACGAAACACAAATATTGAAGTAGTCTCAAACTTTGGAATTTTTTATTATGGACCTCTCTTTTCTCTTCGGCATGTTGGTCTCTTTTTATATTCCTCCATTTCCAATCTACCCGTTGGACAGAATTGTATGAAGAAGATTGAGTAATCGTTGAGGGACAAAACCTGAATCTCCGTTGATCCTGGTCGCCCATACAACCAAAGTCTCAAGTTTCCATAAGTAGAGCTCTTCGATTTAGGAAAGTTACTTGTCTCGAGATTGATTGGCAATTAATCAAGATGCTTTGCATATTAAACCATTGCAAAACAATCTTTGAGAATAAGAGTCAATCACATTATTTTAAGAAGGAAATCCAAGCCAGATTACTAGGTGTTATAAGTATTGGATTTTCGTTTGACTAGGATCATAAATAGTTTTCAGAGTCTGAAGTTTATCTTCAGTATAAAGTCTAAATATATTTTGCCTTAAGTAGACTCTATAACTTGATGATTCTCAGCTTATAATGTTAGAGTCTGAATATTTTCCGAGTCTAAATGGACTTCGCATAGAGTCTGAAGATACCAAATGGCTTGACAATATTCACGGGCAAGCTTTGCTGATATCCTCATATTACTTTAATGATATCCATGACATACATCAATGATGTCCACGAAGTACGGAGCTGATATCCGCGTTATAACTGGCTTTAAGCTTCAGTTGCAATATTCAAAATCAACAGTAGATAGAGTCTAAAATAATCAGATGCATTGATGATATCTGCTTGTAACTTCGAGTCTGATGGTGAGTCTAATGATGAGTTTGATGATATCAAACTCTAGTTGTTTGGTGATATCCAAGTATATTAGCAATCGTGGTTCTACTCGCTTTTCACTTGTCCTTGGTACTTCAAAGCTTTATTGAACTGCCCGTTATAGGCTTATTTATCTTCTACTTAGGTAACTCTAGCTTGCAGACACTTCTACACCCAATGCCTTGTTCACCCTATTAGCATATCATTTGCATAACAACTTGTGCATCACCGGGTTACTCAACCATTAAACTCATTAGTAGCCTTTAATTATTTTGTCATCTTCAAAACATCACAAGTGGTTTCCCTAACACGTATAAGCTGCCCAGCGAAAATTTGGTTGGCCGGTGAGATCGGGCCCTTACTTAAGATTAAGTTGGTCATTACAAATTCTATTTTAATACAAAGTCCATTTTAACCCATTAAGAAAATGGCCCCATTTCATACCCTTATTTGAAAATTTTCTCCAAATCTATTATCTTAGCGTTGCTTCTATTGGCACGAGGGAACTGATTACGAGGGAATTGAGGATGATTTCCTATGGAAGTTCGCCTATCTTAGTGCTACAAGTTGCTATGTAGAATCCATCATCCTGGTGTTGCTCATGCGCAACTAATTTGGAGATTGGGTTTTTAGCACTCCCACGATTCACAAAATTGAGGGTCATGATGGATTCGGTCCAATAGAGTTGGGTCTAGACAAGAACTTTCACCGTGTCACGGTCCATGGTCGTGTAAATGATGTGTCATATATATATTTAAGCAGTTAATTATTTGATACCTATCGAATTAGAAGATGAAAAATTACCGACAACCACTAACAAACTCTTGTTGCATCGGACTATATGGAGCACATTTCTAGTAGGTATGGCGAACCGGGAGATCAAATATAAATTCACTTTTTGCAGAGGTAAAATAAGAATTCACACCCTAACTTGCATCCATTTTCATTACTACCGACCCTAAGAAATAGGAATAATGACACAAATAATCCTTCAACTTGGGCCGTTGTTCATGAACTTTTAATTTATTCAATGTGGTCCTTAGACTTTTGATACATGTTCAAGTTAGTTCCTGATATATACGACTTATGTTGGAAAGGTGCGACATTGGAGGAATTTGGCTCCTAGACCTTCCTGTCAATCGCTTCTCTTATTTACGTATAAAGATTACAATCAATCGAATCGAAGGGGATCCCGCAACTCCGTTTTTCATTCCTAAGCAGTAGGCAGAACTCTGGAAGAAGCAGTTGAGTCCATTGTCGTTATGTACACGATTCAAGACGACGACCCACCTATTAAACAACTTATTCTCTGTACAAGCCAAGTCCATTGTGGTTATGGCAGAACTCAAAATCTGTCCTTTACCACTTCATCCTCAATCAACCCATCTTCGTTAGAGAGAGAAACAGAAATAAATAAGAGAAAATGGAGGAGAAGCAGCGAATTCAGATTCCCCGGGTGAAACTGGGCAGTCGGGGATTGGAGGTAACAATCTTGCTTCCTTTTGTCTTTGCGAGCCGTCTCTATTCAAGTGATCGTTTGAGTTCTTGTCTTCATGTTTTCAAGATTAGTAGTTTTCGTTTCAAACCATACAGATTGTGCCTGATTTTTGTGACATTTGATCATGAGACTGTCTAGAGACTTCTAGAGTGAACCATAGTGCTCAAAGTCCTTGGCTCCTTGCATTAGTTGACAAGTGTGATCTGGGTTTTTGATTAAAAAGGGTGTGACCAAAGTCGAGTCATCCCAGTTTACTACTAGAGCTCGACCAAGCTTTAAGCGTGTGCTCGAAGCGACTGTCCAAAAGTAAGAATTTTACGTGAGACCGCAAGCTAAGCTGGAAGTTGAGCTAAGTGAGCTTTGAAAGTATCATCAAATTGGAAAACATCGTAATATGTGTTTCTTATGTATTTAGATGTATTACTCTAATTAGGATATCTTATATTCAGCTATGCGGGTCTAAGTTTTCTCCATCACATTCTCGATTCCACTCAGTAGCTGTATGCCTCAAAACTCGAAAGGATCGCGTTGAGTCGAGTCAGGCTCTTAGCAGCTCAAGAGTAGCTTGGCCTGTGTGTGCTCTTAGTTCAAGCAAGGGCAAGCGAGGATGGACACTTAGCACGGTCAAGTCATTTCAAGGGAGAAGTAGAGGAACTATTTATTCAGGACCCTTGTTCTTAGGGTAGTGAAGAAATTTTTGTTCTTCACCAGATTTGAGATAAGATATTGAAGAGACGAATACTGAATTCATGACATCCTCTCATCGTGTGCAGGTCTCTAGACTCTCTGGTGTCCTGAATGCTCCTGTTTCCCATAAAGCTGGATGTTTACTCATAAAGAGAGCATTTGAGAAGGGTATCACCTTCTTCGATACAGCGGATGTCTATAGTAATGATCATCACAGTGAGATCATGATCGGAAAGGTGATGCCTGTTTCATTTAGCTTTAATGCATCAAGATCTAATCTCTCTGTGATTAGTTTGACCCTGAACATTATTAAGAAACGGACATTTTAAGACTGAGATGATAGCTCTTATTAGTGCATTGTGTTGTTGCCTAGTTTCTTTGCTGGTTGTCCTGTTACTGAGACCAAATTGATTACCGACTCAGGCTCTGAAGGAGCTTCCGCGAGAGCAGATTCAGTTAGCGATGAAATTTGGCATAGCAAGGATGGCGGCGGGTCAATTTGCCATCAGAGGTACTCCTAATTATGTAAGAGAATGCTGTGAAGGTAGTCTGAGGAGACTCGGGGTTGATTACATAGACTTGTACTATCAGCACAGGGTGGACACCACAGTGGCGATAGAGGATACTGTAAGCACTGTCGGATCATGGCGTTTCTTCACATTGCTTTCTAGCATATGATCATTTTTCTCCAACAATTGCAATGTGACCAATTGGTTTAACTAAATCAATTACAATTGGTAAGATAGATGGGAGAACTCAAGAAGCTGGTGGAAGAAGGGAAGATAAAGTACATTGGTTTGTCAGAAGCAAGCATCGATACAATAAAGAGAGCTCATACCATTCATCCAATCACAGCGGTGCAAATGGAGTATTCTCTGTGGACTCGCGAAATTGAGGACGAATTAATTCCACTCTGCAGGTCTACTCCTATTATCCTCAAAATGTTTTTTTATTTCCCCTCAAGATATCAAGGAAACGAGGCAGTTCTTACACGTCTTTCAATTTCAGAGAACTTGGCATTGGGATAGTTGCATATAGCCCTCTAGGACATGGGTTCTTTGGTGGGAAGGCGGCTGTTGAGAGCTTGCCTGCCGAGAGCCTGTTGGTATGTTTTTTTCGCAATTTGTTTTGATTATATCTATCATTAGTCTATAGGCCAGAGAATCTGAATTATGCAACCATCCAAACTTACTTTATTAGCATCCAGAACAGCAAGCAGGGTGAGTAATCCTGCTACAAGCTCAACAAACAGCAACTAAGAGGCCCAAACTAGAAGTTCCCTGCTACAGCACATCTTATGCCTATCTAAGGACACTTTTCTCTTCACATTCAACTAAGTCTTTCTCTAATCAATTTATTTGCAAGAGGATTAAATCGAGCTTACAGAGAGAGTGGGATTATGCAGGCGAAGTTTACTGCCTCAGAAACAAATTTTTTGGGTTTTTTGGTGATATATCGGTGCTAGATGTGTTTCTATGTTAATGTCTATTGTTATGTGATGGGCTATGCATCCAAGATTCACCGGGGAGAACTTAGAGAAGAACAAAGTTATATATCGAAAAGTGGTTGATCTCGCTGCAAAGCATGGTTGCACTGCACCTCAACTCGCCCTGGCGTGGCTTCTTCATCAGGAGAATGATGTTATCCCAATACCAGGTAACAATTTCGGGCATACATGGGTCACGTGGTACTATGGCATTAGGCGTGGATTTTTGCAAAACTAGGAGAGGTATGCCAAATCAGGCAGCTGTTGTTTTTCCTATGTTTATCACAAACTCTTAACTTTCAGTTGCGATGATATATAGGGACCAGAAAAGCCGAGAACCTTGAAGACAATATTGGATCAGTGGCAATTAAGCTTAGCGAAGACGAGATGAGAGAAATTCGTGATGTTGTGACCAGGAATGAAGTAAGTTGTGAAAGAGAGATGGAAGTATTTACCAAGTATACATGGAGATATGCAAATACCCCAGCAAGATAATGCGCGGCATGGATAAAAGACTGACCATGGATTTGCTCGATGGAGGCGTTACTCCCTTGTTATTTCCACTATTTGTTGCGAGGAGAATATTGCAGTGAAAGTGTGACATGGGTGGTCGTGATATCCGTAATTTGGTCTTATCATAAGGAGCCTAAAAAATCATTAGAATAAGTGATGTAGTCTTCGAGCTTCTTGCGGTAGAAACTGCAGCGTATGCCTGAATGTTGGGATTCAACAAGCAGAGGCGTTCTGTATTAAGGTGGAGATGCTTGGCATGTGTTTTTTTCCGACCTAATATTTCATCGGTTGTCCAACAATGGGGTTCAGCGAATTGATCTCGGTACGGTAGGGACCATAACTTGTTGGTCCGAACAGCTTCTCATGCATAGAAGGATAATATTCATTAGGAGACGCTCATCTGCACTCGAATGGTTCTAACTTATGGAGAGCAACGAATAAAGATTTTCTCGTCTAGCTGAAAATGTTTCTTCAAGTGCTTTGGCAAGTAGTCCCGAACTGTTTGTTCAAACAACTCAATTTGATCATTCTAATGATAAGCATGTTCGATACCAAACGAACAGGTCAGGAAAAGTACCTCGTATGTTATCAATTGTGGAGTATTTTCCCCTAGTTTGTAGGGAAGGTCGTTGCTATAGCTAAGGGGTTCGACGTAGGGTTCCACAGTTGTTAAAACGCAGCGGAATATATTTGTAAACCGAAACCCTAGAACCCTAGACAGGATCCATGTGTATATTGAAATCGAGACAGAAGTTCGATACGTACCTTTTGCAAATCGAACGTAAATTGACAATTGATTATGTCTGGATTAGCGCCCTAAGTGTTGCGCCTCTACCGGTATCCACACACGCGAACATAAGTCTCCAACGATTCAAGTGCTAGCTAAAGATCTTGAAGTTCCTTTTCTTCAACGCCTTTTGATTTTCGATACTCTGTCGAAAAATCCTAGACAGAGAACGATTCTCTATCTATTTATACAGCCTCATTATCCAGCGAAATTAAAAGAAGTGGGCCAGGCGATTTGGGCCTGCCAAACCGTCCACCTTCAATCGTACATTTAATCGTTATCTCATAACGCGCACGACCGCGTAAAGAAGTTGAATAGGAGAATAAATTAAAATCTACTTCTTATTTTAAGTGGATCCCGGCGCACAAAAAATATTAACTTAGTTCGCTTTTCTGTGCGACCCTATAGGTTCACTAAACATTAGCAGTGTACTCAAAACCCCTTTTGGCCCACAAGTCATAAGCGGTCTCTAGCAAGACATTATGACTACCTAAGTATAGTGAAGGTCGATTTTCCGACACAACCTAATTCACAACTAATATTAGAGTATCAACCTTGATTGATTCCTAGGGTAGACCACTAACAATAGCATGCTCCTGCATTGCTTACAAAGATGCTATAAACAAAATTCTCCAATGAAATATTGTAAGAATCAAAATTTGCCCATCAGATATGAATTGTAGGGACTGAGATTGATAATTGGTTTTGATACGTGTAGTTAAGGACCTAGCAAGAAACTAAGGTGCTTCACGGCATATCCTTGATGACGTGCAAGACGTCGTTTTTCATGGGGACGCGCAATAGAAGTCTCGTGCCTTCATCGCCTGAGGCAACTGCGAGCGGATCGTCGTGTAATTCCTGCATTCAAATCCATTTCTCTTTGCTTGGTTGCTTATCATTGTCCTTTCAAAGCAGTTGTGTTTTCCGAGTGATCCGGTCGGTCTCGGTTGTATTCGTTTCTCCGAGCCGAACTGGATACGAGTGACCCATTATAATCATTGCACTTCGATTTGATCTGTTCGATTTAGTTTGACAGCGTCCTCAGTTTCGCTTGCCTGCATACTCACATGGGTTCAACTTGAAGATCATCGCCTAGTGAGGTCCTCAACTCGTCTCCGTCACTGCAAACTCATGTTGGTCTGCAAGTGCAATGAAGAATGCTCCACTTAAGCTGTCTTAAGTTGATGCTCATTTTTCTTTTGGCTGGTGATGGGATCAAGTTCACCGAATTGTAAGCAGGGAACCGATTACGATGTTTTTGCTGTCGTATCTGTTCGACTTATTTAGAATTTGCATTTATGATTAAGCTACGCGTTAAACGTACAAGCCAGTATCTCTCTACGTTACTTTTTCAAGGCCGGATGTCAAACATTGTGCTTCTTTCCGTAATTTAATGCGGTTGAAAGGGGAAGGGAATCTCATATCCTGTTTGTGATTTTCTTCAATCTTTTGTTTGATTCGCAACTTTGGAGCTAATCCGAGCGCGTTTATTTGGTTCTTGTGGTTTGTTCGATTCACACAAATGGAAAATAGAGGTCGACGGTGGTGTGGAAGGAGGGCGCGCTTACCGTAGCTGCTGTCGCTCCCATCGGTATATTCCACCACATGCCCAAGCCTTGTTGACAAATTGCTTCAACAAGCCGTAATCGCCTTCTCTTGGGCCAAGGAAAGATGACTTGGACTGAATTAGGAAATTGACCTCGATCGAAACGGAGGAAATTAGAGGATTTGGACAATTTAGGGTTACGATCAGAGCTCCAATTTGAAAGGGTAACCTCAGTCGGATGACAAAGCCAAGACCGACAAACACAATCAAAACATAAGCTACATCAGTGATATTATGAGGAAAATTGCCCTAGATGTCACCCCAGCTTCAATTTGGGGCTTTTGCAAATTGGGTCAAAGCATAAAATTTCGAACGAAATTATCCCTAATGTTTCTAGAATAAGCACGTCAAAAATTTGGTTGGCTAGTGAGGTCAAGCCCTTACTTAAGACTAAATTGGCCACCACAGGTCCTTTTTTAAGACAAAATACATTTTAACCCCTCTTTTATGAAAACGGCCCTGTTCATATCCTTATTTGAACATTTTTCCCAAATCTATGGTCCTAGTGTTGCTTCTATTGGCACGAGGGATTTGATGATGTTTTCTATAGAAGTTTGCCATCTTAGTGCTAGAAGTTGCTACGTTGAATCCATCATCCCGATGTTGCTCATCTGCTACGAATTTGGAGATTGGGTTTTTAGCACTCGCGTCGTTCAAAAAATTGTAGTTCATGATGAATTTGGTCCAATAGATTCAGGTCTAGACAAGAGCTTCACTGTGTCATGATCATTAATCGTGTAAATGAGGTGTGATATGTTTAAGCAGTTAATTATTTGATTCTTGCTTGAATTAGAAAATGAAAAATTACCGATCACCGCTAGCGAACTCTTGTCGTGTCGGACTGTATGGAGCATGTTTCTAGTAGGTATGGTGAACCGGGAGATCAAATGGAAAAACATTTTATGCATAGGTAAAATAAGAATTCACACGCTAACCCGCATCCATTTCATTACTACCGTCCCAAAATAAATATACGGTTATGTTGGAAAGGTGAGACATTGGACAAATTTGGCTCTCAGACCATTCTGTCAATCTCTTCTTTTATCTATATATAATGATCACAATCAATTGCATCGAAGGGGATCCCGCAAGTCCAGTTTTTCGTTCCTAAAGCAGTGAGCAGGACTATGGAAAAAAGCAATTGAATCTGCAGTCCATTATCGTTAGGTATGCTATTATTCAACTTATTCACCGTACAAGCCAAGCAGAATTTTCCTATCACGACAAAAAAGAAAGGTAAAGATAAAGATGCCACTGTCACCGTCAAAGACATTGGTTTTGCAGAACTCAAAATCTGTCCTCTACCTCTTCATCCTCAATCCATCTTCGTTAGAGAAAGAGAGATAAACATAAAGAAGAGAAAATGGAGGAGAAGCAGCGAATTCAGATTCCCAGGGTGAAACTGGGCAGTCAGGGATTGGAGGTAGCAATCTTGCTTCCTTTTGTCTTTGTGAGCCGTCTCAATTCAAGTGATCATCGAGTTCGTGTCTTCATGTTTTCGAGATTAGTAGTTTTCGTTTCAAACCCTACAGATTGTGCCTGATTTTGGTGACATTTGACCAAGAGACTGTCTAGGAACTTTAGAGTGCACCAAAGTGCCCAAAGTCCTTGGCTCCTTGCATTAGTTGATGAGTGTGATCTGGGTTGTTGATTAAGGGTATGACCAAAGTCGAGTCATCCCAGTTTACTACTCGAGCTCGACTTGATAAGTGTTCGGTGATAAGCGTGACCTTGAAGCGACTGTCCAAAAGTAAGAATTTTACATGAGACCGCAAGCTAAGCTGGGAGTTGAGCTAAGTGAGCTTTGAAAGTATCATGAAAATGGAAAACAACGAAATAAGTGTTTCTTATGTAGTTAGATGTATTACTCTAATTAGGATAGCTCATATTCAGCTATGGGGGTCTAGGTATGCTCAATCACATTCTCGATTCCATTCAATACTTGTATGCCTCAAACTTGAAATGATCGTGTTGAGTTGAGTCAGGCTCGTAGCAGCTCATTAGTAGCTTGGCTTGTGTGTGCTCTTAGTTCCAGCAAGGGCAAGCGAGGATGGACACTTAGCACGGTCAAGTCATTTCAAGGGAGAAGAGGAACTATTCAGGACCCTTGTTCTTAGGGTAGTGAAGAAATTTTTGTTCTTCACCAGATTTGAGATAAGATATTGAAGAGACGAATACTGAATTCATGACATCCTCTCATCGTGTGCAGGTCTCTAGACTAGGCTTTGGATGCGCTGGACTCTCTGGTGTCCTGAATGCTCCTGTTTCCCATGAAGATGGATGTTTACTCATAAAGAGAGCATTCGAGAAGGGCATCACCTTCTTTGATACAGCGGATGTCTATGGTAATGATCATCACAGTGAGATCATGATCGGAAAGGTGATGCCTGTTTTAGTTAGCTTTAATGCATCAAGATTTAATCTCTCTGTGATAAGTTTGACCGTGAACATTCTTAAGAAACGGACATTTTAAGACTGAGATGATCGCTCTTATTAGTGCATTGTGTTGTTGCCTAGTTTCTTTGCTGGTTGTCCTGTTACTGAGACCAAATTGATTACTGGCTCAGGCTCTGAAGGAGCTTCCGCGAGAGCAGATTCAGTTAGCAACGAAATTTGGCATAGCAATGGCGGGGGGTCAACTTGTCATCAGAGGTACTCCTAATTATGTAAGAGAATGCTGTGAAGGTAGTCTTAGGAGACTCGGGGTTGATTACATAGACTTGTACTATCAGCACAGGGTGGACACCACAGTGGCGATAGAGGATACTGTAAGCACTGTCGAATCATGGTGTTTCTTCACATTGCTTTCTAGCATATGATCATTTTTCTCCAACAATTGCAATGTGAACAATTGGTTTAACTAAATCA